CGTTATATCGAATTTACAGTAGCGATTGCGCCTTCGGCAATGGAAAAGGAGCGCACCTTTCGGGTTCATTGTTGGCTCTCCAGTTTTATTGAGAAAAATGGAATCGCGGGGAAAGGAGCTGATCGAACAAAGCAGGAAAAGATAATAGCGTTGTCCGCTTGCCAAAAACCGCTGCTGAAGCTTTCAAAGCTTTCAGCCTCTTCCTTAAGGGTGTCCCGCGGTTAAACGACTTGTCGCGCGAACTCTGCGAACAATTCGATTCAGACCAGTCGGAGAATTCGTGATCGTGAGAATCCCCGTGATTTTTCGTTCTTTTCATCGTTTAATTACACTACGATACTTGATCAGTCCCGCTAACGCGATATTTATTTCTCTCCGAGTATAAAAATTTCTCATTAAAGGAAATCAGAAATAAAACATTCCGAATACCTTTATTTCCATCGATATTTCAATTTTCTATATTAAATAAATATTTCACGTGACATATTCTTCCTAATTACCCAGTACGAATAAAATATTCGCGCGTCATCGCGAGTCGAGAAATAAAATGATAAAATAAGAGAAATATTGAAATTCCTCCGGAAGGTGTTAAGATCATAGGAATAATTCGCGATATTAAACTGACCTAAAAATTTGGAAATGAGGTAAAACATTGACTTTTGCGAGAGAGGTACTCTGCCATCCTTTGAAGTCGCGAGTACATTTCTACCTAAATTGGATTTACTTGGAAACCCTTACGTAAATTCCCAGAGAAATTTCGACGATACTTTCATCGCTCCTAATGGGCCAATAGCTGTGGAGGAACGACGAAATCGGTAGCGGACATAGAGGGCACGCAAAGTCGTCCGCATTTCATTGAACGACTCGTGTAAAGGGGTCAATCGGCAACGCCCGACGGGTCTATCTGCTCGTCAAAGATTCGAATTGCTTTAATAGGAAATTCCCATCGGCTTTTCGGTGTCCCACGACGATCAATTTACCTGCCGCGATGTAATCAATTTCTCTTAGGAGACGCGTATCAGAATTCGAAGCGCAGCGTGTAATTAGTTACGGTCATGATACCGGAAGTTAATCCCCTGTGGACTTCTTTGCACGATGAGGAAGTATTAAATTCGTTCAAAATTTAGAAGAACATTTTGCAGTTAATATAGCCGATTTTGGATAACTTTCGAAACACCACTGGCATTAAATCTGTCAGTGCCTGTGAAAAGATTGGCCATGGTGGATGGAGCAGACTAAATTCCTCGTGTATATTTTATATATGGGAAATTTTTAATCGAAGGTTCGAAAGAGATAGATCTAGCCTTAATAAATCTATTGTAAAAATAGTAGCAGGCAATAATATAATATAGTGAATTAATTTCCAGCGATTTTTAAAGGGATGTTCTTTCACGTACGTTGGACCAGGTTGCTCTAATTTGGAGTACAGGTAGCCCTCCTATAACACGGTAGATAGGTTCTTAGAAAATGCCGTGTTGCGTGAAACCGTGTTGTACGAGACCCAGACGCAGTACAAAAAGGGCGGTTACGTTCCGAAAACTTACTAAAAACAAATTTTTTTTAACTCTACATAAACAACTTAATTTTTATTAAAAATATAAACGTATGTACAACACAAAACAAAACAAAAATATTTTAATTTAATAAATTTCTTCGTCGTCACTGCTCATGTAGAAGTACAGTGTTGTACAAAGGTTTTTGCAATTTTCTTATTGTGTTAGAGCGAAACCGTGTTATAGGATACCGTGTTGTATGAGGGTTCCCGCAATTTTGTGAATCGTGTTATAGGATGCCGTGTTGTAGGAGGACTACCTGTATATGTTAGACTGTATTTTCTGTCAACGGGTATCTAGTACCACGTCTTTACGACTGATTGCATGAACAATCTAACCCTAATCTAACCCAAACCTGCTCGTACGCTATCTGAAATTACACGAACCCAAACATCAGTTTGTTTAATGTTCACGACGACCAGCGATGCAATACCATAAACGACGATGCTGGGCTATAGCCTGTTTCTCCATGCACATTCGCGTGTTTGTTTAAGATCATAGTGTTAGATCCAGCTTTGTTGCCGTTGCTGGATATATTGGCATAAGGATTGTTCCATTTCGGCCAATATCGAGAACGATACACGGAATATTTTTTAATTAAATCTCTCGGAGAATTCGGTGGAATATTTTTTAACACAGCAATGAAATAGAAAAATTCGTAATTCTCGTTGTCTTCCAAATTAGCACGCGAAGATTTGAGGAATGAAAGTTAGGAAGGCTTCGTATCCCATACATAAAATGAATAACGAAAAGAAATAGAAGACAATATCTACTTTGACAAATTGATAAGTCAAATAAGATTATAAGAATTATATGGCATAAATACATTGAAATTTATTAAACATTTTTTTTTCATTGATAGACTGGGCTATTTAAAATTTTATTTTTGGGGAGGTAGAATTATTGCGTGATATTCTTCTTTCTTTTTTATTTTTTTGCTCGTGATTCGGTTTTCTGGTAAGGCTGCAGGTAATTATGTCAACGTGGAATCAAGAATGAAACGCCTACCACCATTTCGTTAGACGTGAATTGACCTGTATATGGGATGCGTGAGTGAGGCCACTTGCGAGGCCAGGCAAGGACGCAGGCATCGATTCTGACCTAACCACCTCCGCCCCAGCCTCTAGCCTAACTCCAACAACTCACCCCGTTTCCACTTTCAACCTGCTCTTATCCCTTCCCTGTCAGGCCTACTGTGAACCCTGCAGCTTTCTTTCCTCGAACGCGCTGAATATTCGTGGTCATCCACTGCTCGAGGCCGAACGTATCGTAACACTCCAGTTTCGCCATTTATATTCACAAGAAGTCGTAAATAAATCAGCGAAATACTCCATCGCAAGATCTGCCATTTCTCAAACCGCTGTTCCCAATTTTCTCTCATTTCTGTCTCTCACGAGTTACCGATAAAATATCCGCGAATTTCGAAAATAATATTAATCCCTGGACGAAAAATGTGTCAGGCGTGTAATTGTATTTTAATTAACGTGCTTTATTATTCTATTACCCTCTCTCGAATCAAATTTAAATCAAAGAACATTTAAATATCATTATTCAAGCACGCGAGGGGGTGAAACACGATGCGAGCCTCGTTCCTCTACTCCCCGTAGCCTGTTACCAGCTCTGCACAATCCCGATACCCATGATCAATAGAATACGGATTTTAATATATGAAATTGCTCGTTAGCGTAACGCGATCGATCGCGTTGTCCTCGTTGAACGTTAAAGTGGCCTCGGCTCTGGCATCTTGCCTATACACCTCCTTGCCTATCCTTGCGTCCGCACACTATCCCGTTTCGAGCATTTATTTTTCCCTCCACGGTTGTCTTCCGATTCCTCGATCCGCCCGCGGATTCTAATTTCCGCTCGATCGTCGCGTTTAATGGAACGCGGCGTTACCAAGGGAAGTCGCGTGTCGTCGCGCGAGCCGATGATCGATACCGCGTACAATTTCGAAGATTTCCAACGTCGAACAGCGTGTACACATTTTGATCAATAACACCGCACCACATTGCGTTGGACTGGTTCCGATGCGAGCCAGCAAGTAGAGCATGCGCCCGATAAACATTAAGGGATCTCTGCCCGCTTTCGTCAGCCAACGATTAATCGTTTCGCGCTCGCGCCGTCGTTTTTCCTTTGTCTCTCCTCGTTACGCTCATTTTCGCTGCTTTCAATTTCGCCCGAGCCACGTCGCGAATTTGTCACGGCTCTCCGTGCCCGGAAACCCACGAATCGGGCATCCGTTAATCAGATTCCGGGTCGTTAACGAGTGCTTCGCACTCTTCGAAACGGTGAATCGTTCTGGGTATTTTGGTCTTCGTTCTATCCTTTTACCTGGTTTTCAGAAAATCCAGGGCAACCGAGTAGCGGAACAGGCTCCCGGGGGGAACGATATTAAACCGAAAATGAATTTTACGTCGCAGAAACTGTGCGCGAGCTTCCTTGGTCCTCGGCATGTTCTTCCAGGTCAGATTAAGGGGACATTCATTTGCTTAACTGTTTAAGACCATCGGCAAACTTGGATTATCTCTCGATCGTCGTCGTCGATGAGCTTCTTAGAGGCATTAAAGATTTTCCAAGAGGCTCCTGGGACGCCATCGATATCCACGATAAAATTCTCTCGCGACGGGTAAAATGAAATCGTAGAAGCATCGGAACAAACAGTTTCGAAAGGCTTCTCTTTAACTCTTTGCGGCACAGGATTTCAGATAATAAAATAGACCCATGTTGCATAGAAATTCTATTGCGGTTTAAACGAAACAAAATTGCTATATTTTTATTAATAAATGAATCGCATAATGTAAAAACATACAAAAATAGTAATAATTTAATTGGATTTGTTGTTATAGGGTGGGACTCAAATAGTCCCACGGTTCTATGTTAAATGTTGTCAAGTTATTGCAATATTTTGAAATGGGACTAAAAGTGTCCCACCATGCATCGAAAAAAGTGGGACGTTTTTAATCTCAGCTTTCCCCCAAAGAGTTAAAACACTTGTAGTTCCGCGTTACGTGATCGATGAACGAAGCAAATAGATTCTAATAAACGAATAAGGTGTTTACACCGATCTAAATTATACTGTAAAGATTCTGCTCCATTTTTGATCTCGCAGCGAGCCAAGAAAGTACCTTTAAATTCGTGAGAAAAATTCAAGAAATCCGCGATCATGCGAAAGTGCGTGTGCGTGTGTCTGAGAAGAGTGTGTCAGAGAACGTGTCTGTGAAGAAGAGTTCGTGTGCCTGAGAAGAGAGAATTAATCTACGAATTTAGATCTTCCGCCAACGTTCTAGCCCTCTTTTCTTCCAAAGGTAACCAATTTACGATCACTTAATTCGCTATCCTATGACCAGGCGTGGATCGCCTGGTACCCTAGCTTCTTTCTCCGACACTAGCTTGCACGATCGAGTGCCTCCACGACAAGATTGACCAACCACGATATGCCTGTTTCAGAAACTTGAGCAAGACGATGACGACGAGTATCTTAACTCCGCCTGGGCCGACGGCAGCAGTCTGAAGCGGCACTTTCAAGGTCTGAACAACATCTCCTGGAAACCGCACTAAGCGGGAACCCAAGAATGGGAACTAGAAGAGGAGAGGAAGAAAGAGAGAGAGAGAGAGAAAGAGAAAGAGTTTGTTGTACGTAGCTTGTTCGAGTTACCGACCGCGAATATAGCCAATATTCTCTCACCCGCTACCAAAGATGAAGGAACGAGGATTAAAATAATCGAAAAGCGCAATGGCGACGTAGCTTCTCTGGGTATCTGCACGGAGCGAACCAGTGGTGCACGATGCTCGACGTAAGAGTTTCGGAAGGAACCGGGCGTCGGTTTGCGTCCAATTAAAAAAGCTAAATAACAAAAAAAAAAATAAATAAATAAATTAAAGAAAGAGAAGATAAATAAATAATAAGGAAATTAAGAAGAAGAGATGAATAAAAAGAATTCGTCGGCGTTCTCTCCTCGAGGCGGAGGAATCTAATCGATGGGAAGATCGATAGATTTAGGAAACGATGATCCAGATCGTGTGGTTCGTCGCGAACAGATAGGTCGCGAACAAAGGAAGAGAGAGAAAGGGAGTGTTTTAATATATGCCACAACGCTATCGCATAATACTGTCCCACACTGTGTACGCGCTAATTATTATCCAATAGAGATATAACGATATTTTGTGACAGACTTTTTTCTACTCGACAACCGCCCGTGGTCGCGAGCGCGTGCGAGAACGCGACCTCCTGGGCCCTCTGATCGATTAATCCGTCGGCGGCTCGTGTCCTTTAGCCAGGTCGATCGTGGCCGGCACCGAGCTCCAACGATCGGCCGCTTGGCGATCATCCAGCGTGGAAACATTACATTTGGATCCGTTGCCCGAGTTATCCAGGCGCCTCTGGGGTCTCGTCGTATCGTAAAGGGTACTTCCGAAACGTTCCATCGCCGGAAGAATTTCCAGGATAAATTCGACCGATGCTACTCGACGCCGCGAGTGAGAGAGAGAGACAGAGGGAGAGGTGGATGCAAATGAACCACCGACTTGGACGCGGTTCCGGTTTCAAAGCTGCCATCCCTCTCGTCTCCGAGACTCGAGCGGATTCCTAGAGAAACACCGAACGCGGGGAACGCGGAAATCGTATCCAACGTTCCACATGCTAATTCTGCGTCAGCCAACTCGCGGATAGGCCGATTCTCCAGCCGGCGAATAATCGAGAGAACATCGTATATCCTGGAGCTTCTCGGAAACACCCTCTACGACCCCGACACCCCCTCTATTCGAACGCGATCCTCGCGCACATCGTCGTGGAATTCCTGCGAGAATTCGACGTTCCGTTCGATCCGATCGCCAGGATTGTCGAGCGAAAGAATTCCTGCCCAATTTTCCGATAGCACGCGCCCGATGAAAACACACTGGTCCTTTTTGCACAACCGGCTGACTCTGGTGTTTCACACGACCAAGGAAGGAACGCACGAGAGATGGAGGGGAAGTTTAGACGTGGCTGTCGGCCATGTTGACGACAGGCGGACGCTGAAGAGGAGAGAAACCGAACCTCGCGCGAGACCGGTCGCGTTAACTCAAGTGGACTAAAGCTTAAACGAGTAAATTAATGAATTAAGAGTACCGTTACCAAGTTAACAAGTATTACTAAGTTAATCTGCTTGCTGTGTGATCATGACGCGCATCCGAGAAACGCCACTCCACGTGCATCGTAGACGAATCGAGAACCACGCTGTATCGATACACCGTCTCTCTCTCACACGTACACGTATACACACAGACACGTTTACAACACGTACACGTACACGCCCGTTTCACCGTGACCGCGAACACGCGCTTCTGTTCAGGGAATATTCCACGCGATTCACCGATAGACCGGCGAACTCTTGAATTCCGCTTCTGGGGTGTGTGCCGACCGCCCCTTCCTCCGCCGATTATTCCATTTCCGCGATTTTCCGCCGATCGTACAGGCACAGGGAACAGAGATCGAATATGGCAGAAAGGACGAAAAGAACGTCGCGAAAAATTTGCGAAATTTTGCCAGCATACCGATCCTTCGAGGTCTGCCAGTGTCAAGGCTGACTCGTGCTCTGCTCCTGTCCGACTGTTCTCGGAGGGTGTCGCCTAGTTTCTTTTCCTTCCATCGAATTATCGAGTCTAAATAAGTATTTATACGCTTCGCTATTCGATTGACAAAATTTTTCAAAAATATTCGCAATATACGAACAACGCGAATTTTATATAATTTCCACGAAGCTGTCTTCGTCGATTAGAGTCGCGATCCTCTCGACGGAGCAAGGATACGTTTACGTGAAATTGTTTTGTACGAGACATATCGAAGCTAAATCATTCTCTTGGACTGCTCCGATACGTTTATGTCCCGATGCGTCGACAAATAACATCCGATGCAATATCGACGTGCTCGAATCGACATTGCGCTCGTATAACAGCGACGCAGGGAGAAAATATCGAATAATACTTTATCGAACCGATATCAGCCCCTTCATCGATAGTCCCGGCACACGGCACGAGTCAGACCTATCCGAGGCGTATTGTGCAGCATCGCGATACGTCTATGTGTCACGAAGGAATGCGATATTTCAGGGATCGGATCGGGTGAAGCTTGGCCGATAGGAAGGAACGAGAAAAGTCGTTGTTCCCGTCTGTACCTCGGTCCAATCGCGGATAGACGCACGCAACGTTCGCCGAAATATAGATCCCGAACGGCCGTCTGTCGTGCTCGAAAGGAAACTCACCCCACCCAACCCCTCGCGATTACATAAAGGAACACAGGGTGCCACTTGCGCAGAGGGTGAAACAAGTAACGGTGGTTTTTTCGCGGCCTCGTTGCTGCGCGTGAATCGATACGAGTGGCGCAGGACAGGCGAACCTTCGCCCCTGAGATCGATGGGAAAAATTGATGCCGGAGCAAGTTCCATGGGAAAATTTGTCGAATCCGAATCACGAGCTTTGCCTTTCCATTCGTTCTCTTTCTCTCTTTTTCTTCTTCCTTTCGCCTCTCGTATTTCTATGCTCGAGTAACGACGGGGTAGTTCGTCTCGATTTCCTCTCGATTTCGTTTCGATTTCATCCCCCGTCGTTGCAACTTTTGGTTACCGTCAGAGAAATTATTCTTAAAAATTCGCGTGTATATTTAGAGTAATATCGAATTTTAGTTGCGAGCCGCGAGATTTGCGATTGAGTGAAACTTCTGTGTAACGATTGTATATTGTACCGTTTGTTCGCGTGGTGTTCGTGTCGAGCCGAGTATCGATCAAACAATCGCACCCTGTGCGCGACCACGCTGTTGGAAATTGATTTTTACGCCGGTGGTTTCGAAACAGGCGGCAATGGGGTCAATTTTCCATGGATCTCTGATCGAGCGATAGGAAAGAAAATTGAAACACGATGACCGGGCTCTCTCCCTTTCCGGCGAGAAGCACGGAAGGCGATTACTATGGTGCTTGATCCGTGGAAAAGGTATAAATCGCCCGTATCAGGGGATAATTCGAAGGCGTTCCACGTGGTATCGATTCTCACTGCGACGCGACCTTTCGCCATTTTGCGATTTTGCGATCTGTTCCACACCCTCGAAGACGGCACACGTACACACAGTTTGTTACACCCCCTCTGCGAACGGACACTTACTCGCGCACATGTACACATACATACACGTACATACATACATACACGACGTACACGAGAAACACTGATAACCTATGGAAAGAAATAATAATTGAATTGTTTTTATGGATTAAGAACAAGTTGTCTGTGATCTACAATAATTAAAAGAATATTTAATAAGTATTAACATGGTAAATGCATAATTGACATGTCGATAATGTCGAACGAATCGGTTTAGGGAATAATAATAATAATAGAGGAAACAAAACGGGGGGGCAAAGAGAGGGATGCGAAGCGAGAAGGGGAGGAGAAGCAGTCGGTTATAGTGTCGGTATGATCTCGCATTGTCGGATAGAGCAATACGATAGTCGATGATTGGGGAACGATAAACGAAAACGATCGTCGCATTAACCACGTCACCGCAAAGGAATTCTAGAGAAGAGGTATATTATATAAATACATATATAAACATTAATTAATAAAGAAAGAAAATAGAGATTTAAAATGGAGCACGCCACGTCTAAATATGTAATCGCTGTTGTTAATCAGTAATAATTCGCGATATAAGGAGATGAAGGGATTAAATAAATAAATATATATATGGCACTTGACCGTCGCGGCTAAAAGAAGTACATAGGATAGATAGATTTATAGAAGCGCAAAAAAAAGAAAAAAAAAAAAAAACACCAAAAATCGTTCCTTCCACCCGCTCCGGCCGTGTATTTGATTATCGATTTTAAATATATCGCATCTCATATAAAGTCAAAGAAAAGATCTGCGAACTTGCAAGCGCACCTCAGAATGCAATTAGCGTGTCGTTTCGATGAATGAAGATGAAAGGGACAGAGGTATAATCGGGCGAAAAAAGTAAGACGGATGGAGTGTGACAAAAGGAGAGGAAAAGTGGGAGATACAGAGGAGAAATGAACGAAAGAAAAAGATGAACGATATAATATGCCACAATCACCGAGTAATAAGTTGTTCAACGAGCGTTGCGAAAGATGTTCGAGATAATTTTTGTACAGTTTTGGCACACACGAGAACGTGCAACATCGTCGTCTTTATATTTATGTACAACATTCAATTATTATAAATTTTCGATATTATTACAAACTATGATCGATTTCGTGTGAAAGTGTATATGGCTTTTTCTGCGGTTAACAATAAAATGTTGTCAAAGCTTTTTCACGAGATATATATACATACATATTTCACTCAAATGTTTGATTTATCTGTCGATCGTTGCCCTCACCTTCTTCCAATGTGCACCTTCAGAGATTATTGTCATTTTTCTTGGATAGATAGTCGGAGAGTTCGTAGTATCTAAATATTTCATACGAGACGTATGATGTTTTATATACCGCTGTTATTTTGTTGTCATTAGCTAAGTTCTTCCAGCTTTTATTTTATCCTAAAATTAAGCTTTGTATATTAGGAGTTACTGTGAAATAAAATTTCTTAGTTAACACCATTGTCTACGGTATCGTGTGAGGCTCGTGGCAAGGAAATCGGGCCACACGTATGAGAGCCGTGGTTTGTAGATAGGGCCCAATGTAAACATGGCAGGGCTCGTGGTTAATTTTGACAGAGGTCTTACTGTCTCAGTTACTTACGCGTTATTCTTCAACGTGTGACCCGACCTTTCTATTTACTATGGGATATCAGAATCTAAATCGTAAGGCAAGATGTTAGAATAGAATATACA